AATTGTCCCTATTCTTTTTTCCTTAAAAAAAAAAAGGCTGAGAAGAAGATTGTGAATTACACCAAAATAAATACCTAAGTTTTATAATCAAATGGACATCCAGTTGCTGGGCCCCACTGAATCTACTAGTGACCAAGGAACTAGGGGCCAAGAAGGTTGAACTTCATTACAGATTTGTCTTCTCAATTTGCCTCCAGAACAAATTAGTGACTTTTTTTTTTAATGTTGATCTCCCCCAGGTCCATGCCCAAAGAAAGAAGAGGAGAAGAAGAAGAAGAAAAGGCTGAAAAACTCAAAATCCTTAAATTCTTATAGGATTATAACACTGCGTGAAGACGTGAATTCCTAAGCATATTTCTAGATGACATTCCACTCTCCGTACAATAAAGATAAATTCATAAYGATTGCGTCAGATATCAAGTAAACACCAGATGCTTCCCCATAAAGTGGATGGAGAGGAGGAAGGAGCATTCTTGGCACCACGATCACCCCGCCTTTTTTTTTTTTAATTTTTTTTTGTAATTTTCTGTTAATTTCCTACCAGAATCTTTGCCATGTAAATAACAGAGAAAGATAAAAGTCCACTGGCCCTGGACTCCAACCTTTGCTTAACATTCCACCCCTTCTCTGATCTGTCCCTCTCCCCACCTCTGGAAAGTTGGGGATTTGTTACCTGAAAATTCAGGGGCTGAGGATGCATGTCTCAGGAGGCAGAGTGTGTTGGATTCAGATCAGCCTGGCGAGAGAGGCTAAAATGAAGGTTCTCTCACCTACAGTCTGGCTTCCCCTGCTCCTCCAAAGGTGACCTAGGTGGACTCGGTTTCCTTTCAGCTCACCTGGTAAGGCCCTCCTTGGCTCTGCCACCTTCTCAGCTTGCGCCCACAGACAAGGTTAGCAGTGTCCTGGAGGCACTGTCCCCTTCCTGTGCATAGAACCCTAAGCCTGCCACAGAAGCAGAAAGAGGCTCTGAGGACCACTAGAAACCAACGTGAAAACACGAGGGAGGGAGGCCTCCAGCACACCCTCCACCCAGTGCCAAAAAAAAAAAAAAAAAAAACCAACGGGGGAGTAGGCTAAGTGAACACCTTACACTGTGCTCTTGTCTTTGGTGGGGACTGTCACCAACCCCACCCATACCAGGCACTGGAGGAGAACACAGCTGTGACCTGGGGTTCCCAGCCCAGAACAAAGAGACCTGGCAGTCCTTCCTCCCCATTCTACGGGTCAGGGACTCCAACTGCAGCCCTCAGCTCATGAGCAAACTGTGATCAGGAAGGAGAGCCAAGGGCCTGAGCTGGCTGGCTCTGCAGAGAATGGAGGCAGGGGTTTAATTAACCCCCTTTCCCTCTTCTTGCTATCACTGAGCACTCTGAGACTTCTTTTTCTTTTCTTTCTTTCTTTCTTTTTTGTGATGATGCTGGAGGTGAGCCCAGGGCCTTGGGCATGCCAGACGAGCACCCTGCTGCAGGGGGTGTGCCCCGATCCCTGATTTACTTATTGATGGAATAGTTCCTCTAACTGTATTTTCAAAGTGGGACTAAATATGACAAGCTTTCTGATTCTGTGTCCACCTGATAATCTAGCTAGAAATCCACATCCAGGTTTAAGGTGATTTTTCTTCAATACTTTGAAACGATTTTCAATTTTTTCTCAGATCCAATGTTGCTGTTTAGATTTGATATCAATCTGATTTTTATTCCTTCTTTAGTTCTTTWCTATCAAACTGCTCAGATGCAATGTGATGGCTGGAGCTTTATCTGGCAGCTTGGGTCATGAAGATATGAGAGGAGAACAGTGACCTGGAATCAAACGTGAGTCCTCTGAGACCTAGAAAAACAAAGCTACTGAATCAACCATAAGTCACCCACTGACAAGTGTCCATGAGAAAGAGAAATTAACTAATGTTGTGCTTATGCCACAACTTAGACTCTGTTATTAGTAGCTGAAGCAAAACTTAATTCATGTGTGCTTTAAATCAGCTTTGTTTTAGGATTTCCAGAAACCTAATTATTTTTCCCAGTGAGTTCATGTTTCCCTGGATAACAGCCACCTGAGCTTCAGTCTACCTTTATTCGCTGCCTCCTGGGGAGCTCAGGGAATGGGGACAGAAGGGAATTGCCTGTGGCTTTATGATATGAACCTGCCCACCCTGAGGGCCACCTCCCATCACTACAGAAGTTCCTCTCAGAGCACTTCAGAGCACTCTCCCTGGTCACTGTTCTTTTCATGAGCTGAGTCCTGTGACTGGAATCCACGGATTCTTGAACCATGAAGTGCAGAGAAGGGACTGCCAGGTCGCATTATTCCATGCTTCTAGCCCAGCCTGACATTGTCATACCCAGCCAGCAAGGCTGTCTCTGCCTCCCAGAGCTGTGGTGGGGTAGGGGTGGGCCATGATCCCCACCAGAGACAAGAGCGCGAATGTAAGGTGTTCATTCAGCCCACTTTTCAATAGTGGGATGGAGGRTGTGGGGGTTTCTCATGCTTTACCTTAGTTTCTAAGAGTCCTCATTAACCTCCCTCTTGCTTCTGCAGCATGGTGGGTGTCATGTGCACAGGGGCYGACGTCTCAAGGAGACTGCCACCTCGTCAGTCCTGCACTATTATTATTTTTTCATAACATTGATGTTAATCTTTTCCTCATGCTCTTCCTCCCTGTTCTGTTCTGAGTTGCTCTCTTTATATCAAAGAAGACATTTGGCAAACAAAGATGAGTGGGGGGAGAGAAAGGGAGAGAGAAGGGAAAGCATATGGAAATGGTAGGAGACCCTCAATGTTACACAAAATTACATATAAGAGGTTGTGAGGGGAAAGGGGGAGGGAAACAAGGGAGAGAATTGAACAACAGCAGAGGAGGTAGAGAGGGAAGATGGAAGGGGAGGAGAGGGGGGATAGTAGGGGATAGGAAAGGTAGCAGAATACAACAGTCACTAATATGCCATTATGTAAAAATGTGAGTGTGTAACCGATGTGATCCTGCAATTTGTATTTGGGGTAAAAATGGGAGTTCATAACCCAATTGAGTCAAATGTATGAAAGATGATATATCACGAGCTTTGTAATGTTTTGAACAACCAATAAAAAACAAACAAACATTGATGGCCATTTGTGTGTTTATTTGTTTACTGTCTCTCTTCCCCAACCCGCTAGAATGGCAGCATCTCAGAGGTAGAAACTTGCTGGTTCACAGTTGTCTCCCAAGCACTGCATACAGTGGATACTCAACTAATACAGGTAGAATGATTGTATCTCTAACCTGGTGGTGCTGGAACTCTATCTTGACACCAGTCTAGGGATTCTCGCTCCAAATCTGGAGCCCTGATCTCTGCTTTGAGCAGAGATTCCAAGGGAATGTAAATTAATAGCAAGGGAGGAGGAGAGAGAAAGGAAAGGCACTGAGGAATGAGAACGACAAATTATGTGTGTGTATGAATATGGCATAATGAATCCCACTATTATGTATAATTATACTCACCAATAAAATGAAAGTTAAAAAACTCAAAAGTCACATGAATGAAGACCCTGGTAAAGATACAGAACCCTCCCTTCAAACGCTGGCTAAAAGAACTGTTGGATGATTATATTTAGTGTGGGGTTGTCTTATACATGTTTGAATCTCCACCGTTTGCAAAGAGTAAGGTGTTCAAGAAAGATTTGTTTTAGGGACACACAAAACCCGTCCGGGGAAATGCTTTAGCATAATTATAAAGGGCAGGAAACAGGGAACTAGAAGAAAGAACTGAGGGTTATAGAGTGAAGGACAGGAAGACTATACTTTCAGGGATCATTTCTATAGTGTGTTACTAGAGAAGTTTCTCTGATCGTGTATAGAGTGAAGGACAGGGCTGGGTATTAACATGTTGCTGACACAAAGGGGCCTATGGTGTATTACTTTGCAATAGATGAAGAAATAAAAAGCCTTAGGCACTAGCCACACACAGCTATTTAAATTTAATTGAAATTAAATAACATGTAAAATTCTGTTGCACTGGCCTCATTTCAACTGCTCTGTAACAGCCACATGTGGCCTGTGGTCACTGCCTTGCACAGTACCGGTAACAAGTCAGTCTGATGGACAAAACTGACCTAGACCTTTAAGATGAAAGGAAATACTGTCCTGCTTTGGACCTGGCCTACCAACAGTTTCCAGGCAGATCAGAGCACCAAGGCAGTCCCACTCCCGTTCCCCTAGATTTGCCCCACAGGGAGCCAGTTTGCCTCCATGCCAAGGGCCGTGATCCTAACCAGTAAGCATTTGTGGAAATAGTGGGCCCTCCAGCAGGTTTTTTTTTGTTGTTGTTTTGTTTTGTTTTTTTTTAAAGAAAGAGAGAGAGAGAGAGTTTTTAGTTTTCAGCGGACACAACATCTTTGTTTGTATGTGGTGCTGAAGATCGAACCCGGGCCACACGCATGCCAGGCGAGCGCGCTACGCTTGAGCCACATCCCCAGCCCTCCAGCAGGTTTTGATAGTGTTCAARGCCCAGGAGAAGAGCTGGATGGCAGAAGTAGCCCCTGCTTCTCTTCCCTATCCCCTTATCTGCAGGCTCCACCTCCACTCCAAAGCCAACAGCGCACTGGTAGCCAGGCCCTGCCCCCAAATCATGTGGGACTCAGAAATAAATGATCTACTGCAGGTCTTAGAACAATCTTACCTTGTTTACATGATAATTTGTCTTCCGCCACCCTGAGCCTGCACCTAGTAGGTGCCCTGTAAGTATTGTTGGGTGGATGGATGGATGGTGAATGAATGAATCGAAGACACTCGTTTCCCTTAGTCGGTCAAGGCACTGCGGGAGGAGCCACCCTCAGAGGGTTGGAGGAGAAAGCCCCCTCCCTCCACTCCGCCCCCGCGGACCCGCTCTGGGCGTGGGAGCCGGAGCCGTCGCCTGCGGGCCGGGGGTCCGGCGGGGCTCGGCCCTCAGGGGCGTGTCCTCCCGTCCCGGGCGCAGCCGCCCGGATTGACGGGCTGCGGTGCTCCCGGGCCGCGGCGGCCGAGGGACATGGAGCGCGAGCTGGAGGCGCTGGAGACGCGGCCCGCGAGCCCGGCCGAGCCGCCCTTCCAGGCGCTGGTGGAGGCGGCTGGGGGCCGCGGGCAGGTGCTGCTGGTGGGCGAGCTGTGGGAGCGCGAGCAGAGCCGCGCGCTGCTGCGGGACTTCGCCACCGCCGTGTTCCCACCCGAGCCCGCCGCGGGCAAGCCGGGCAGCGCGGCGGCGGAGAGCGCCGGGCCCGGGGAGGCGTGCGGGGCGCAGAGGGCGCTGGGCACGGCGGCGCGCGCCATCCGCTCCCCGCTGGTCTTCGTGCTTTGCCGCGCGTCGTCTCTGGCCGCCAGGGAGCCGCGGCGCCGCCTGCGGGAAATGCTGCGGGACGTGCGCGGCCGGAGGCGGGCCGGCGCGGCGCTGGTCGGGGTGCTGGTGGCCGAGGCGGGGCCGGAGGACGCGGTGGCGCCCGGGCTCCGGCTGCTGGAGGCGCTGCTGCGCACAGTGTTCGGCCGCCAGGCGGGTGGCCCCGTGCAGGCAGCCGCCTACTGTCCCAGCCACCCGGAATCCAGCCTGGCTGTCCAAGCGGCCGCCTGCAGAGCCCTGCAAGCCGCGGGGCCCGGGCGACCAGGTGAGGCTTCGCCGCGGAGCAGGGCAAGGCGCGGGCGGGCGGGCGGGCAGCGTCTGGGAAGCTCCCCGGGKTGGACCCCTTTAGCACCCCCTGTTGTGCAGCTAAGTAAACTGAGGCCGAGTGCGCGGAGGTGTCTAGCAGCCGTCCCCTCAGCACTTTAGCTTTAGGGGGCGGGCCCTGGACCAGGGGTCAAGTCAGCCCTGGGAGATTTGGAGTGTTTGCCTGATGCAGGGCGCTAGGAAGGCCGAAGGGACGAGCATAAGGTAGGAAGGTGGTAGGAAGAAGGGTTGGACTGGCCAGGGTTGGTGGGGGGAGGAGGATGGGGAAAGAGGACGGAAAAGYCTTGGGACACCTGTGTGTGGAAACTGGGACTGTGGGGTGCCTGGAGCTTCCAGGACGCAGTGCAGCCAGGGATGCGTTGAGACCTCTAGGCCAGCCTGGAGGCTCGGTGGGGAAGTCCAGCGGGGTAAGAGACCGAAGGTAAGGGACTTGTGGGCCTGGAGGAGGCTGCCAGGAGCTGAAAATACTGAATTTTCTAGTGCTTCCTGGTTTCGGGCTCAGGTTGCACACCCGCTGCAGAGGGCACCTTTCCATCCTCCTGCTCTAAAGTGTAGAGAGGGGAGTGGGTTCCCCCGGCGCCCCGCCACCCGCCCCCCCAGCGGAGACAGCTGCTGTCCACAGAGGRAGCAGGCTTCAGCATCTCCCCCATCCTGGTTCACAAGGTTTTACAGGAACTCTCCAGTGTTTGGGGGTTAAAATGGGGACATTTAGTAATGCTSAGTCTGGCAAAACCGGGAGATCTTTGCACTCAGCTCCCCACTCAGCTTGGGCAGCCCTCCAAACCCTGCAGCCTCCACCTCCTGAAGGGTTAATGAAAACTAGAGTGGTTGTGTTGTGTTTCCTGGGGTATCTGGTTGGACAGATACTGGGAGATGCCGGACATGGGGAGGGGTTGCTTTCTCTGCTGGGAGACCTGCTTCCTGTGATGTTAAAAAAGTCACAGACTCACCCGAAGTCTAGCTTGCCTGGCAAGGGCTATCCCTCTCAGCTGGGATGCACCCCAGCATCCCCACCCTCACCCACTTTCTGTTGAGGCCTCTAGGCCTCAAATTCAGCCACTAGCAAGGGAAATACCTCCGGTGGAGCCTTGTTCTAATCAATTTTTCAGCCCCTTCTTCCCTGACCTGGCCCTCTGGGGGAAAGAAGGAAATTCACACAAATTGTATGCACCCTAATGAGCTGATGCCTAGAAAATTCTCCCAGGCTTTAATCTCTTGGATTCTCACATTCCCATGGGAGCTTGCTCTGGCCTCCTAAATTTTTGTACCCAAGGCTGCTGCCTGGGCCTGAAAAGCCTTTTCTCTCCTCCTCCTCCTCTCTGCTTGGCCAGTCTCACCTCTCCATTCAAACTGGACTTCCTCCTCCAGGAAGTCCTCCCAGAAAGCTCCGCACTCCAGTTGGCAAGTGCAATGATGAAAACCCAGAACCGTTTGCCTTCCTGCTGTCTAAGCTCTTACCATGTGATTTTGTGCCCGTTCCCTGTGGGTTTAATCATGCTCGTAGTCCCCTTCCTAACACCCTGCCTGGCATACAAAATGAGATAAATGACTCTTCAACTCCTTTTAAATAAATACTTTAAAAAGTTTAATGCTTTGCAAAGGCATCATTTTATGTTAAACTCTCTTCTACTTTTTTTTTTTAAAAAAAGCAAAACACACACACACACACACACACACACACACACACACTGAACAAAATGAAAGCTTTCATTACTGAATAAAGGGACTGTAGTTATGATTCATTGCCTGCCCATTTCTTTGCAGCTTTTGCAGTGGACAGTGTTATTACCCTCAGGCCAAATGGACTCACGTTGCTAAGGTTTTCCTATTGGATGCTCTGGTTTTTAAGTTTTCTGATTTCTTTCCTTACTGCCTGCAGTTAATTCTTTTTTTTTTTTTAAGTTGCTTGCCTTGTGTCAATTCTGCTTTACACAGTTTCAGTGTCTAATCCAGCTGCCTTTGGGTTGAAAGCCTAAGGATCCCATCTTGTTAGAACTGGATATAAATTAAGAGTAAATAATCTGTGAGTAAAGACTGTAAACAGGTTTTTTTGTTTTGCCTATCTGCTGCCAGAAGTTTTTATTCTTTTTTTTTTTTTTTGCAGTGCCTTAAAAATGATAAGTCAGGCATGGTGGTGCATGCCTGTAATCCCAGTGGCTCAGGAGGCTGAGGCAGGAGGTTCATGAGTTCAAAGCCAGCCTCAGCAACATTGAAGCGCTAAGCAACTCAATGAGACCCTGTCTCTAATAAAATACAAAATAGGGCTGGGGATGTGGCTCAGTGGTTAGGTACCCCTGAGTTCAATCCCCAGTAACTCTGATCCCCAAAAGAATGATAGGCAAGTGCTCTACCAATGAGCTCCAACTTCCCCTTGCCTTTATTGGGGATTAAACCCAGTGACATTCTACTTCTGAGCTACTTCCCCTGTCCTTTTTATTTTCTTAATTTATATATTTGTTTATTTATTTGTTTTGCAGTACTGGAGATTGAACTTGGGGCGCTCACAACTGAGATATATCCCCAACCCTTTTTATCTTGAGACAGGTCCTCCCTAAATTGCTGAGGCTGGCTTTGAATTTGCAATCTTCCTGCCTCTGCTTCCTGAGTTGCTGGGATTACAATCTTGTGCCACCACACCTGGATCCAAATCGTTCTTAAAAAAAAAAGGAGGAAGAAGAAGGAAAAGAAAACATTTCCTGTTGACTTTATTCCAGATGCTTGGGGATCCCAGGTGATCTCCAAATAACTGGGATGGTACTTTAATTTTGCTAAGAACTAGAATCAATATTGTCTCAAATTATAATTGTTTCATATGTGATTACCAAAAAAATATTAAATCTATTTCTGTTAAGCAAGAGTTTGAACTAAAAATCAGGGAGGCATTTCTGACCTTGAGTATTCTCTTTGGTGCTTTGTCATTGTAATTAATTTCACGTTTTGTTGCTACGGTTTTCCAGCATGGTACCAATGTCATAGAGTAATTTGTGAGGATGAAATGAAATGATCACAGTTGAAACTAGGACCGGTGACAGTTGAGACTCTTGGTTTGCTGGACAGAACGTTTTCCAGTCCTTATGAAGCAGGAGCCATCTTTCTGACCTTGACCTGAGGGGCTTTGTGTTCTTCCTAGAAGAAGGAACTTGGGAGAGACCTGGCCTCCCAGGACTGCTGGCCTGTTTTACTTGGGGTCCTTGGAGCCAGAGGAAGGACCAAGATGCCATCTCCTCCAGAAGCCCAGCTCAGGGTGAGTGCTTCAGCTWCCTGGACCTTCCTGAGGGCTGGGTGTGGAGACACAGGGGCCTCAAGGACAGAGCAAAAGAACATCCATGGAGCACCTGCTGCATACATGTGAGCATGGGGGGAGCCATGTGAGCTGCCTCCCCTCCAGGCAGTGGGAAGGCAGGGCTTTTGCCCCAGGAGTGTCACCTAGTGAAGGAGGCGTGAGGAGGTCTGTAATGCAGGTGAGCGACATGGGGGCCTCTGCAGTCAGGCACCCTGAGGATCCAGGGAGTGTCAGAGTGAGTAACGTGAGCCAGGAATGGAGGTCTTTCTGTAAGTAGAAATGAGAAGGTTTGGKGGGAGGACAGCCCGAGCAGAAGCTTGACAGCAGATATCAGAAAAGCCCTCGGAAGTGTCCAGGGTTGAGGTACAGAAGGAGAGTAAAGGCCTGAGGTGAAGAGGAGAGTTAGGCCACACCGGGGGCTCTGAATGTCCTTCGGGGGTAGAGGGCCACTGGTGATTTCTGAGCAGAGCTGTCAAGATGAAGGGTGGTTTAGAAAGGGGGCTGGACTGTGGGGCAGGGAGAGCACAGAGGTGGAGCCCGGCTGTCAGGGACTGCAGCAGCCCAGGAGAGACTTCTTGTGGCCTGGACCCAAGGGTCAGTGAGGGACAGGAGAGAGGGAAGGGAAAGACAATGGGCAGTCGTTTAAAATAAACTGACATTGTGTCCTTTATTTTAAAAATAGTTGATATGTCAGCCTTCTATTGCTGCAAARGAAATTGCCACAAAAGTTAGTAGCTTCAAACTAGAAACATTAATAGGTCCCCGACTTGCTGTTAGTGGGGCGTTTGTTCTTGCTCCCACCGGGTCCCCCAACAACATCTACTCCCTTGTTTCTAATCTGAGGCCGTGTCACACAGTTGAAGGTAGTTACAGGAGTGACTAGCCATCCCCTCTGTCTCGTGAGGCTCCCTGTCCAACACCTGTCTCTGTATTCCCAGAGCCCACTCGCACCGGAGGAGGGGTTTATACAGGGGCAGCTCACTTAAAGGGCCATGATCTTGGGGCTAGCTTCAAATTTTGCCTATTGTAGTTGAAAGCTTAAAAAATATTTAAAAAAAWTTTTTTAAAGGGAAATGAATGCTAAAAGTTCACTTGATCCTATCATTCAGCAGTAACAACAATCATTATTTGGGGGTAGACCATTCCATTTGTCTGTCGGTCTTTCCTTCTCTCACTCTCTTTGTACTATTTAAATTTTAATATTTACTTCTAGGTAATATCTAATCTGCAGAATGAAGTAGGTATTCAAAACAGTCAATCAGGGGCTGGGGTTGTGGCTCAGCGGTAGAGCACTCGCCTCGCTCGTGCGAGACCCTGGGTTCGATCCTCAGCACCACAAACAAGCAAAGGTGTTGTGTCCGCCGAGAACTCAAAATAAATAAATATTAAGAAAAAAAACAGTCAATCACAAAAATGTTAACTTTTAACTTTGAGGTCATCATTTAGCATCTGTCATGAACCTAGCAGGGAAATTAAGCAAAGGAATCATTAACAGTTGACCATAAATTTTGGATAACTTCCTTCTCTGTAGCATATAACAAATCTCATGTAGAACTCAATTTATTAAAAGGCAAATTTCACTTATGGATTATGTACTTTTATCCCACGGTATCCAAGGGGATGGGCCCCAGAACTCCACTTGAAAACCAAAATGTGTGTATGTTCAAGTCCTTTATGTAAAATGGTGTGTAATTTACATATAACCTATGTACATCCTTTTGTATGCTTTATTCACTTATTTATTTTGTGGTGCTAAGGAKGGAACTCAGGGCCTCATACRTGCTAAGCATATTCTCTACCATTAATTTACACACCCAGACTGCCTGCTGGATACTTTAAATCATCTCTAGATTACTTATATCCCTATAGTATTGTGAAAGCTATGTAAAATAATTGTTATACTGTGTTATTTAGGAAAATAATGACAAGAAAAAAATCTGT